CCCCAAAACCCCAAAACCCCAAAACCCCAAAACCCCGTGATAAAGAATAATCTGAAATTTTAGAAATAAATTTCATTAGAACAGTTAAATAAAATGAACAATAGAATATATAGTCCAGATTCAGTCTATTCTTAATCTCAATATGTTTCAGGCTAGAAACCAGTAACTTTATAATAGTAATATAATTAGCATGGGTTTGTTCAAGAAGATGAAGAATACGATTTCTTTTACAAAAGAGCGAAGAAAGTTAAGGCTCCTGTTGAGTAATTATTAACTTGCTTTATTATCTTTGATTAGATAAAGTAACTGGAAGCTTAAAAATAAGGATGAAGCAACTTTTTATGAGGCTAAAGTTTATGATGAGCAAGTATAGAAAGTTATGTTTTTAGATTATGACTATCCATAACCAGAATTGATGCCGTTCTTGTATTTCTATAAGTTTTTGGGTAGAAAACCAGAGTTTTGCAAAAAGGATCTGACTAAATATTAGAAATTGGAGCTTTGGATTCCAGATACGATTGTTTTCAATGATAGTGACTCACCCTATTGGATCTTTACCAATCATGAGGGTGTTGTATGTAGAACTGAAAACTTCAATGAAAGGCATGTAGTGAGTAAACTAGGCAATCAATACTCAATTGATGAACTAGTAGTTTGTTGCAAAACTGTAAAGAAATATACTTCATATAAATTTTCTAGTTAGATAATTCAGATAAGGGCTTGGTAGGTAATAAATGCCAACTGATGAGCACGAGAGATTTAGCTTAGAAAATGTCATCAACTAATTCTGGAAACAGTGAAATATTTGTGATATAAAAGTTTGTGAAAAGTAAGGGTCCAAACTCTTTCATTGTAAGAGCGTATTACAGAAAATCCAAACCACCTCAGTGTTATGTCATTACCAATAAAACTTCATTCTTTGATTCTAACTCAGCACTTGATGAGCACGAGAAATATATAACTAATGTTAAGAAATCATTATCTTGTAGCATTGTTCATTCAAAAGGTGGAAAAGTTAGTGAAGAGGCCTGTGGATAGGTGGAAAAAATTGCCAAATTCTTTGAAAAATATACTGGCATTTTTATAGAGGAGATGGTCTGTGATTTCATTAAGTAAGATTTATAGATTTAATTTAATTTCAATAGGGATGAGAGCGGTTTATGGTGGTTTGTTGGCTGCAGAGGTTTTAAAACAAATGGAAATAATGGTAAGCCAAGTCTTCGTTATTTCACTCTGGAAACTCACATTATGAGTGATGAATCTGATGATGAGAAGAAAAAGGTGAAAGTTAAGGATGATTCGAAGGGCAAAAGTGATTATACAAAATTAAGAATGTGCAGGTTTTGCTAGATTGGCTATCCGATTAATGATTTAACTCATTAAATGACATTATTGATGATTCTAAAGACAGAAAAGCATATAAAAGAGCAGCAACTCGGGAGTGATTATGAATGGCTGAATCATGGTGATCCAATTTACTACGATCAAGTATCGCTCTACTAGCCTCATAAGGTGTGCAAAACCTGGTAAGAAAAATATACTAATTATATTGCTCAGTTTTACTCTTTTCAAAGAGGTTGAAGAATTAAGGAATGTTGAGCGAAAATTCGCCAAGGCACTAGGAATACCCATTGATAACGGAGGTTCTGGAGAGCAAAAAGAGAAGACTAATTCTACCACAAGGAAGAATGAAGAAGAGTAAAATGATGAAGAATAAGATCCACTAGATCTTTTGAATAAGAAGAAAGATCAAGACATAGAAGCTTTAACTATCAAAGAACTATATCGTTTTAGAATTATGCTAGTGTTTCATGGTAACTTAGATTTTCTCATTTTTTTAGAAATCAGTGATTTTGATTTCAATATTCCAAATATGAAAAAGAACAGTCTCTCCCTAGAGTATAGTATTTTAAATGTAACCAAGACCTATCGCTTGCATTATAATCCTTCAGGTAGCAATGCCAATAATACTGGCTCTTTTTCTTTAATCAATCCCTCTTGCAAAATAAACCTAAATAAGATCAGGCTTTATTACTTCTTTACTAAGGATAAAGAAGCATTTATGAAATTCATCAAAGAAGAAAAAGTAAAAATTAGACTACTCTATGAAAACCAAATGGAATTGGCAACTGCTTAGTACTCGCTAAAGGAGTTCAGATCTCCTTATGTTACTAAAATAGGCTTAAATAGTATGCTGTGTGGGAAAAATAATCAGAGCTGCTATCTCAAGTTTTATATTGGGATGGTTGGAACTGATAATTAAGTTGACGTTAGAGAACTTAAGATAAGCAGATTTAGAGATAATTTATATCTACCTCCTGATAATTACTATGCATGTGAAGTGCTTCCTGAGGACTGGATTGATATAATACCCTCTTAAAGAAATACTCCTTCAAGAAATATGACCTCCACTCACATGATCTGGAGAGAGATGTCAATGAAGAGCTCAGATGTGCATAACGGTAGTCCATAGCACAAGGTAAATTTGGATAAAACAAGATCAAAGTCTAAGTCAAAATTCAACCTCTAGGATTCAGGATAACCATTAGAACCAAGAAATACATTATTCAAATAATATCAATAAAAAATTGAGTAAATTGAAGAACCAGGGTTAGCTTAAAGAGACAATTCTACACAGCCTAGATAGCCATCTTAAAAAAAGAAGAAAATAAGTAAGACTCTAAGATAAAGCTAAACAGCAGCAAATTTACCATCCTCAATCAAGCATAACAACCAGCAAGTTCAAATTCAGGATATTAGAGTAAGATAACCGAAGGAAGCTTAAATAAAAAATATAATAAAGAATCAAAGCTCTGCTACACTTCTAAATTTCAAAACTTCTGAAATGAAAAAGAAGAAAAGGCCAGAGACATCCTTAGGAAGAATGCAGAAATCAGAATCTCAGATTGATATTTTGCTCAACAGCAAATTAAAGGCTAAATTTGATCAGATATCTGAATTAGCAGAGTAAATTGAGCATGGTAGAAACTATTCTCAATCAAATCAGCTCAGAAATTTCATTTAATCTGACTATAATGACTCAATGACTCAGACACTACACACATTAGGGTCACCATAGACTTCACCTATCATTTTTACCTTCAAATTTACTGTAAGTTTACTGTTTTTTTTTACCAATCATTTAGCTATAAAATCTATTTTATGATTCAGATTTTTTCAGATACCTTGCAAAGCATTCCAATTAACAGCAAGTTTATTGGGTAGCTTAATTAGAGATTTTCAACTAGAAATTCGTTAGCGATTCTTACTCCTCTATTTTCGCTTCTGAACATTCGAATGATCCAACTGAGGCTTAACTTATAATGAATTTCAGATAAACTTTACATCTATAGGAGACTAAGGAAAATATACAAACAATTTTGATCAATAACTTTATGATAATCAGACTGATTGCCACCATTACTGATGCGAGTGGATAGGATTTGAATCAAGACTACACTGCACAGTTTAATCTAGGTTACTTGCTCTCGAATAGCTAAATATCCACCTAATTAATACTTGTGCCTAATGAAACAGCCAATGGATTGTAGTAGAAATTTGCAAGATTGCAAGTTTAATTTTCAATTGAAGAAGATGATTTTAGTATCCTTAGAGGCAAAAAGACCATGAGATAAATGATTAATAATTCTACTACCATGATAAGTAGCAGTAACTATGCCTATCAATTAGATGATACTTCAAGCAACAGAGGAAATCAAATTTATATGCAAAATCAGACAATGAAACCATTTGAATTAATTATACCTTTTTGAACACAAGAAATATTAGGTTCGAGATTAATAAACTTATTTTATTGATTAAATTATCTGACAGTGATAATGAGTTCATACTGCATTGTTTGCTATAATTTTTCTAGTGACCACAATAGGACTATCAAAATCTACAAATGCATATGTGACTCCTAAATTTGCAATGACTGCTTGCTCCAATATCTAAAAAATAGTTTTAAATCCTATTAAGATTTGGATAATGTTACAATACGTTGTTTGAAGCAATCTTGCCATAAAAAATTTACAATTATTGAAGCTCTAAAGATGTTTTCTGATGCTTTAGTTTAAGTTCGGGTGATTTCTGAGGATAAAATGGCTAATCAAATGAAAGTTCTCGATAATCTTTTAGATTGCTAGGAATAATTTCATTATCATCTATTAATGAATCATATATCATAAGCTTCAGATATATTGAAATGCCCTCGGTCGAATTGTAACAATGCTGGTTTCATTAATTTTGACGAAGATTGCGATAGAAAGAATTTGATTTGTAATTAGTGCAATTATGAATGGAATGATAATAAATTCCTTCCAAAAACATCAAATAAGTTAGAATTCAAATCTCTATAAAGATAATTTTATGATTGGATTAGTAATTTTAGATAGATTTTGACTTGTAAGACTTGTCCAAAGTGTAGCGCTTTTATTCAGAAAGATGGAGGCTGTTCTCATATGAAGTGTAAAAGATGTCATTATTCTTTTTGCTGGATATGCCTATAGCCTTAAGATGCTAATCACGATAATCAAGAATCTTTTTACCATTCGGTAGAATGTTTTCCTGCATTGTATATTGCATAGTTTGGTCTCATAATATATCTGAAATTAATTTACACTGTATCATTACTAATGACGATTCACTAGTTTTTGCTTTACAATGGATTAAGCTTTGTTTTGCTAATAATTTTTATCTATAGTGAATTAGTTGTAGTCTATCTCTAGATAAAGTTTTATTAGTACATAAGTGAACACACAAAAACTTTTAACAAAGATCTTCATAAAATTAGGCTTTATTTCACCTAAACAATAGTTTCGATACTCGCTACAGCGTTATAGATCTACTTGACTTGGACCATATATTTATATGTTTGTGATTGCTGGTTTGTCTAAAGAATGATACTCTTATTAATGATTTTTGCTGGAGCACTGGTGATTTATTTAACATTTAAAGGAATCGTTGTTGCATGGTAGAGAGTCAAAATATTTTCCAATAAGAAATTCTAAAAATTGAAGTTGGAAAAAAAATAATACAAATGTGATAATTAAACTGAAATTAATCTCGATAAAATATGGAATGAATAAAACAGAAGTATTTATTAAAAAAAAGGAAAAAACAAGAAAAAATAACATAAAAAGCATGCTAAATATTTGTCTTGGAAGAAAAGAATGGAAAAATACGAATTATAATAACAATTATCCTGATAAAGTAATTAAAAGTAAATACATGCTAAAATTATTACAAATTAAATTTCAAATGTATAATTTCATTAGATTTGAAGAGATTGGGGTTTTGGGGTTTTGGGG